GTAGTAGCAGGAGGAGAAGTAGTAGTAGTAACAGCAGAAGCAGGCAGCAGCAGGAGTAGCAGTGGTTGTAGTAGTAGTAGTAGTAGTAGTAGTCGTCGTCGTCCTACTGGGGATCGGCAAGCGCTCCCATTCGAACTACATCATGTTCCTCCAGACCAAGGGAATGCTCGCGGTGGTTCCGGAGTTGGTGAAGGGGATCCAGACAGGGAAAGAGGCTCGGGAGCAGCAACCGGGGACCATCACGCTTCCTCTGAGGACTTTCCTGCTGGGGCATTGGCTGGGTCCTCCGCACTCGCTTCGAAACGTGTCTTGCATCGGAGGAGGCCAGACAGCAAGCCATGCAGATGCTCATCCTCGACTCCTCGGCGGCGGTTCCCTACTTGGAGTGGGACGTGAAGGAGAAAGCCATGAAGATCAGAGCGGATCGGGAGCCCATGACTCCGCACCAGGTTCTGGAGTTGATTCGCCAAATGGGGGCGATGGTGCTGACGCCACACGGCGTCATGAGGTTCCAGACGACGAGAAAGCTCAGCTGGAACGTCACAGGCGAGGTGGTTCCCATGATGCTGGAGCTGGGGATCCGGACAAAGGACGGCAGATTGAGCCACAGCGGCGACGCGAATGGTGTCGACCTCCTTGACAGGGGACAAGATGGGACGCTCGGCCCTCGCCAACACGGCGCAGCGTCTCTCCGAAGGGCTGTCCGGACACTCAGGTTGCGCAATTTAGGCAATCGTTGCTTGCATCCAGTCTGATGATATGCTGGCATTGGGCCACATCAGGTCCTCAAGCAGCATCTGATTTCCTTTGGAACGGGGTTGCATCAGCTATGCCGCTGGCTTTGCCCTCAGCCTCACGTGAGTGATGCACCTGTCGCACTGTGGCAACGTTTTGCATGGCGTGCACTCCACACTGGCTGGTCAGAACCGCATAGACAACATGACATACTAGAGTACTTGGGTTATCTAAGACTTAAACTAGGACCGGGAGTCACACTTGGCCATTGGCAATGCAGACAAGACTTTGTTGGTAGAACAGCAATGCGTGACGAAGGTCACACGTGGCCTTTGCTGTTGCCAGCGAAACTTCAGGTGTTGGCTGCTCGGTCTGATGCCACACTGACTCTGCAGAATCTTATTGACGAGTGGGTGCACTCTCAGGCTGGCCTTCACGGCTTGCAGACTGTGCCTGAAGCCCTGCTGGTCCATATCAATAGGTTCGTAGTGAGTCCCGAGGGTACCCTAAAGGTTGATACACCTGTCCAACCGGACCCCTTTCTGATATTGCCTTGTTTTGTGCACAATCTGGACCATGCGACTCCGCTGGCCCTGCAGTACAGGCGGTACTGCCGAGTTTCCGCGATTTTGCATGTAGGCCTCAGTCCAACCGCAAGTCACTTTAGAGCCATCCTCTTGGTGATGCCGTAGGCAACTTCATAACTGATTTCAACCAAAGTTCTGCCAGGCTTGGACCGGAACAAGAAACATGGCATAATGGGCATCTGTATGCATTCCTCTATAGGCTCTGTGATGTGCCCTAAGAATCTTTTGGGTGATAGTATGTATCCCCCCTCTGCAGCACGCCGAACAGCGAAGTCTTTTCACTTGCAGTCCTTAATTGAGCTTCATCTTTTTCCACTTGTGTGCTGCTGACTCCTGCTTGAAGGGCCCTCGGGCCGGGGAGTCAGAGGGAGGCAAGCACGGGATCCACAAACGATTGGATCGCACAACGTGCCGGGGTGGCGACCCGGCCAAGCTACGCTGCCGGGCAAGGTACAACTTTGCTGCGTCCGGAAGAAAAAGTAGTTGTAGTAGTAGTAGTAGTACTACTACTACTACTACTACTACTGCTACTGCTACTGCTACTGCTACTACTACTACTACTACTGCTGCTACTGCTGCTACTGCTGCTATTACTCGTGTTTCTACTACGAATTGCTATTCCTATTTCTATGACTCTAACTATTGCTATTCCTGTTGCTTTTGTCATTTTCCGTTTACGAATGCTATTACCGGTACGTTCATTGTGTGCAGTACGGCCGATCTTGCTGGTGCTATTTCTGTTGCCATTGTTGTAGTATTACTTAAGTGTTACCTGATGTATAGGGGATTTGGTATGTTGTTGATGACAGCGCAAACAACCTTCAAGTGTTAAAATCGTGGCCCCGTGAAACTGCCCTCATCGATTTGGCATTGTCGCTTCAATCAAAGGCCACGACAAACGGTAAAGTGATGGCTCAATGGGATAGTGCGTGCTTTTGATAAGGGCTGCTGCATTAGAAGCATAGGGATCTTCCATGATGGGTCTTCCGCGGCGAGTTGGCAGACTGGTACATCAAGACCAACAACCCCCTGTCACCCCCAACCAAACAGACATGAGCACTGAGACACAGTTACGCACGAGTCACGGCGCGCAGCATTTGGATAGGAGCTGTTCCTTCAGTTATGGATTCTGCATTGTTGTGCCAACACCCGGCGATAGCAGGGACCTGCTTGTGCATAGAACCCGAAATAAAGAACTTGGACTTTTACGCATTGTTGCCCCATCCTGTGCTTAAGAGCTGCATGAGGCACGACAGCCCAGTCAAGCCTGATGACGCACCGGAGCGAACCCTTCGCCCTGTGGTGGCAGCGGAGACTGAACCGAACTTGGTGCAGGCAAGAAAGCATGTTTTCGATGTGAAGCAGTTCACGGATTGCTCCTTCGCTCTTCGCACGAAGTGTTGCTTCAAGCAACACCATATTAGAACTGGCTCGTTCAACGTTTGTCTTTGCTGTGGGCAGGCCGAGCCCCGAAGTTGGATATGTAGTAGACACACTGGGGATATGAGATTCACGAATTCGGTGCCCATTGTGACAAGGCGCCGCCCACGATGGTGGACGAGAGGCCGATCCGGCCGGCGACACAAGTTGCCCTCTCGGCGATCCTCGAAAACACGCAGGACCGAAAGCTAGTCCTGGCGCCAAGTCCAACAAGCCTAATATAGGGGCTTTGATACTTGGAATAGGGTTCGGGGGTCTATTCTATTATAAATATAATAACGTTGCGTTTAAGCCACGAAGTTTGAAAGCCGAATCAATCCGGCCAGAGCACTCGTAAGCAATGTGCACAATGCTGCCTCTTAGTTGCTGCAAAGCCCACAGGGTCTCAGGTAAAAGATTTAGTGTTCAAAGTTTGGAGTCGCTTAAAGTTTAAGTTGCTGGGGTTAAAGCGTCTGCCATTTTTTTGGCGTACTTCTTCCGTTTATGAACACGTTGCCTTCCTGCACGAAAGCCTGTACTCGGGCTGCATCCTCCGCTTGGTACGTAAACAAACTCAAACGCCAACTAACAGCAAGTTGCTCACTGTTTAGGTTTCTTTGCAAGCGGGTTTCTTCAAAGAGCTGGTGTATTTGCAGCTGCAGCTCACGCCCTGGTGTATCTGACGCTTGGAGCTGGGGATCCCGCACCGCCCATTGGCTGCCAGGACTCCCTGCTGTACACGGCAGAGTCAAGCTACTCAGCTTGAGTTGGTATTCTTAACGAGACCGGTTTGCATGGTTACCTCATCCGAGCTCTGTGTGGGCCCTTCACACACAGGCACAACAACAACAGGCTTGAATGCAAGCCGATGCGAAGATTTCCCGTGCAGCACGGAGCTCTTGAGCCATGAGGTGTTTTGAGCTCGCTGGAGCGATCCATGAACTTGGACGCTTCCTCGGCTTCGCAAGAAAAACTCCCTCTTCGAAATCAGGAGGCAAGGATGTAAGGTGTTCATCAAGCGTCGGTCTTTCCGGTCACCGGTCCTTCAAATTTGTGGGGCTTGGGATTAGAGTGTGGTTTTGGTTTCAGCTCGGGCCCCAAAACTGTGAAGTCGGAGCGTCCAGCAGGTCCACGGCAGGTTCCAGTCTGAAGGGATGAGTGGCTGTCGGGAGGCGCTCACCTCCATCGCGCAGGAAGCCTTGCGTGAAAGCATTCATTTTAGCAGCAGGATGCGACACTCGCAGGTGGCAGAAGAACTGCCTGCTGGAACCTCACAGACTCTGGAGGACTGGGAGAAGGGTGGCCAGGGCCGGAAAGCGGCTGATCTTGCATGTTTCGACCACTACTACTATTGTTAGAAATAAATAGTATTACAATTATCAGCACGATCATTACTGCTAGTAATGTATTATTACTACTCTTATCATTAAAATAATCAGTACTGTACTAGTTATAACTTTTCTTCTTGTTATTACGATCACTTCAGCCCCTGGCCATGACAAGGACGTCTTGCCTGGCGGCTGTGAGCCGGAAGCTGCCGCCCCTTGGCTTTGAGCGGCATAGGGTTTAGGGCTTTGGGTGTGGGCTTTGGGTTTTAGGGCTTGGGGTTTAGGGTTTTGGGTTTAGGGTTTTGGGTTTAGGGCTTTGGGTGTAGGGCTTTTGGGTTTAGGGCTTGGGGT